TCTTTACTTCTTTCTCATATCCAGTTGTCGTGCTAAAGATAGAAAGCTAAATAAACCTCCCTCCTTTCCCTCAAGAAGCTCACAGGCTTATAGGGAGCACACAAATATAGTGTGATCACTGCACGAACATTAACGTTCAGAAGTTAAAGAGAGAAAGTGTAAAGATGAGTGTGACGTGTGACAACACACTCAGGGGCTCGGGGAAGTTAGGAAGTTTGTTGGTTTGAGCTGGGTTTAAATTTATTAAAAGTATAGCTGTAGAGAAATTCCTTGTTTATTTACCAGGGGTTAGAAATAGTAACTATTCCAGCAACCCTACAGATTAAGTCACAAAAAAGGTGCTCAACTTTTGATGACTGGATGAAGTTCTCAGAATGAAGGCTTAAAACCACGCCAGGGGAAGTGGCTCACGCCTGCAATCCTAGCACTCTGGGAGGCCGAAGCGGGTGGATTGCTTGAACTCAAGAGCCGTGTGAGAAAGAATGAGACCCTGTCTCTGCTAGAAATAGAAAGAAAACTAACTGGGCGTAGTGGCACCTACCTGTAGTCTCTGCTACTCAGGATGCTAAGGGAAGAGGATTGCTCAAACCCAAGAGTTTGAGGTTGCGGTGAGCCGTGATGGTGTCATGGCACCTTCTATCCAGGGTGACAGAGGGAGACTGTCTCCAAAATAAGCAAATAAATAAATAAATAAAATAGCTTGACCCAAACTGAACTGTGAGCTGTGAGCCAGAAATTGGAACAAAGAGTAAGATTTGCTCAATCCAGAACCTGCCCAGTATTAAGGAAAACAGCCTGAAAGAATGTCAGAACTGCAGATCTTAAGAGCTCATTGAGTTCATTCTTTTCATTTTATAGATGAAAAAAATGTGACTCAGATTAAAGACTTCCGTGAAGTCATGAGAATACACTGGTTGGCAGAGCATGAGATAAAGCGACAGTGTCTGTGCTCCATGCTTATTGTTTTTTGGAATTCTCTAAAAATTGCCCAGATGATAACGTTGTAAAATAAAGTAGGGCAAAATTTGAGCATCAAAGCATTCCTCAAAGATTGAATCTTTTTTTTCCCTTTTATTAAGTCATATACACATAGATCATGAATACATTATGCATATGTGGGGTACAGTGTGTTGATTTTTTTCTACAATTTGGAGTGCTTACTCCAAATTGTAGAAACTAATTAATATAGCTTTCACCTCCTCAGATTGAACCTTAATAATTATCTGATATTTTCTTTCACGTTTTAAAAAAGTAGGCTTATCGGTTTTTAAAGTGGAATCTCAACCGTGTTGACTATATGCTTATAATTTAAAGCAGGTGGACTCTTAAACAGCAACATAAACTATTTGTACTCCAGGCTCTTGCTCTCTCTTAAATTGCTATTCAGCACCCA